CCGACGCCTGATGGTGCGGTCCCACGGGCCGGCGGCTTGTCCTCGGATACCCGACCCGACTGGCCGCGGTCGGGCAGAACCGCTCGCAATTAGTTGCTCGGAGTTTTTGCGTGTGTCTTGATGGGGAGTGCAATTCGTCATGTTTGACAGCCGGGCGGGGACGTCTTAATCAGTGGCCGTCCGCTGGGAACGGGTCTCCCTCCGCTCCGGGCGCCGGACAGCCGGGGATCAGAGCCGCGCGACTTACATAATATTGTGGTAGTGGTCGGTCATTGAGCTTCTGCTACGATATCTCTTACATTTTAGCTCTCTGAGTCTCGTGTGCTCACTTGCTAACATTCGAGCCGATGGTCGTAGGCATATCTAAAGATATTCACGATATAGTCGCACGATGCTGCAGGCAAAAGATCTCAAAGAATGATTTATACTGATTGCTTTACATCGTCTAAGGCCTTGTCAAGGTGTTCGTGCTCAATGATCATATCAATGTCAGGTTGAGATTATGTGGTTGTTTCTAATTTGAGGGATGGGTCACATCCTTGGGTTGTGGATACAACACAAAATATATACCTACCTACCTACGCACCTACCGCGAAGCTTTGGTACCTACATTTTGCAACCATTACCTACATGTTTTCCAAACAAATAATTTAAGAATATTTTTAATATCTACGATCACCCAGTCATATAAGTATAAAGCAGGTAGTCAGTACCTACGGTTAAACTGATGTCGGAGTTTTCAGATCGCGGGCCATCACAGCTATCATTGCACTCTCACGGAAGGTTATGAAAGAAATAGGATATTCCACGAAGATTAATAGCTCGTCATGGCATCTTCTTCACCGAATGCGAAGCATTTTGTCCCCATAATTGACAGATTTGATGTCTGTCTGCCCGTTGCGTGTTGCGGATCTCGGCGGATTGCAATGCGATATCGATCGGCGCTCGATAAGAGCGGATCACTGGGCGTGCAGCTGGTCGCCGCCGTGTTTCCCGTATATATCTGTACTTTCACTGCAGATCCGGCCCGAGGCAAGCCGTTCCACCTATTTAACCGTCACGTTGGCCGATCCACCTACAAAGGGGCGGCGCTGGAAACGAACCGCCCATTACGCGGGAACTACCCTTGTATCTGCCAGTTTGGTGACAACACGTCCTCTAAAGTACCTGACAAATGGTCCACACGCCTCACCGGCAAATAAAGAAATCAGCGGATCGGCCGCTTCCTCGAACGGCCGCAACGATGTCTTCGATGCGCAGGCAAGGACAGTCCGAGTCTAACACGTGGGAAAACTTGGCATACCGAGGATGGCCCAGTAAAACTACACAATGTCACCTTGAGGGACAGATACCAGGGGAAGATAGGTACTGTCGGGGGATTAGTTATAAAATTTGCTTGAAAGGCATCAGGCTACTATTTTACCACTAGGGTACCTTCTCATTGTCTTCTCATCCCGTTTGTCGTTTATGTTTCTTCAAAGTACTTGTTGACGCATAGTGTACGACCGAACAGTAGCCAGAGAGCTTATTTCGTCTTTTCCACTCTTCATTGAATTGACCCTAAGTGAACTTAGATTATGCCTGTTCAGAGAATGTAGGGACATACCTTCTTTCGTTGTAATTCGTGATGACGTTTGAGTAAGCGATGAAGAATGTGGAACCATGGCAGCGACCACCACCGTCTACAGCCGCCCGACGCTGTCTGACACCGTCTACCGCCGTCTATCGCGGTCCGCCGCCGTCTTTCACCGTCAACCGCCGTCCGTCATCGTCTACCGCCGTCTTCTACCGCCCACATCAATCTGTCATCGTTCACAGCCGTCTAGCACCGTCTACCTTAACCCGCGCCCCGTAGGGCTACCGGCGGACCCTACCACCCGTGGGGGGGGGGGGGGCGTTTCGGCCCCCCCTAAGATCTCGGAAAGTTACCGGCCGATTTTCAAAATTCAAACGGCGTTTGATAGCCCTACCCGGGAACTACCTTGTGACCAAATTTCAATGACCTAGGTCAAACCGATGACGTCACAGGTCAGGTCAAAGGTCAGATTTTCACCGTTCACAGGCAATTCAAGAAATGTGCTGTGAAATCGAGTAAATTGGTAATTTATTGAAAACCATCGATGGTATATTGTTCGTCAAACACATACTTTGCTATCTGAGGTCACTGATACCAGGTCAGGTCACAGCGAGGTCAGGTCACCGGGGGTCACAATATGAATGTGTCGTGTGATACATGTTTTATGGTCCATTTTACATGACAAATGCGATTATGTGGGTTAGGCAGCCTTTGGGGCCAGCCTAGGTCACGTTTTGGTGAAGGTCAGGTCAAGGTCAGGTCAAATTAGGTCAAATTTCAAAGTTGATATTTTTGCATAAAATGGGTATCCATTCGATGCAGCTCGTCACGGGGAGTCTAATGGTGGTCTTTGTTTTGCTCTACGAGTTCTAGAATTGCCAAAAATTGAGTTTGAAAATTTGACGTCATCATTTTTGAACAGTTTTTTCGCTATAACTTGGCCAAAAAACGAGGTATCGATCTGAAATTTGGTATGTAGATAGAAGACGGTAGGTACTATCACATATATACCGTTTTTTTCGAAACTCAAAAAACTTTTTGGATTTTTTGTCTAATATATCCAAAAAATGCTTTTTTGATTTTTGGGGATTAAAACTCAAAAATTTCAAAAATCCGAGATAACAGTTTTGTAGCCCTGTCAATTCTACACCTTTTATGTCTTGATCATTTTTCTGTATCTTCAAAGCTGTAGGCCTGACAGGTCTTCTCGCGAAGGTCTTTTTTCGGTCGAAAATGACAGAACATGACGTCACTCTGACGTCATTTGTGGCCAACCTATCACAGCTTCTGGAAAAAATTTTGGTCACAATGTGTAAAATTGATGCCCGGAGGGGTCCTGAAAGTTTGGTGGCCATATCTCCAGCCGTTTAGGAGATATCGACCGAAAAGGACAGGGGGGGGGCCGTTTCGGCCCCCCCCCCCCTACGGGGCGCGGGTTAATTTGTTGCTGTCTAACTACTAACGTCTACCAACGTCCACCGCCGTCTGCCGCCGCTCAGTGCCGTTTCACCACCGTCTGCCACCGTCTACCATCGTCTACCATCGTCTACTACCATACACTACCGTCTACTACCCCCTACCACCGTCCACCGCCGTCCACCGCCGTCCGTTACCGTCTAGCACTGTCCACGGCTGTGTTCCGCCGTCTGCCACCATTCGCCACCGTCTGCTACCGCCTACCGCCGTCTGTCATCGTCTGCCACCGTCCATAGCCGCCAACCGCCGTCTATCATTATTTATCACCGCCTATCTCTATCTCGGTCTATCTCCGTTTGATAGGTACCATCTGCCACAGTCTACCGCCGTATACCGTCTTCCATCGTCTACCACCCTACATAGCCGTCAACCGAACTCCACCGCCGTCCACAAACGTCTACAGATGTCCAGTAATCCGCCTACCGCCATTTACAGCCGTCCACCAGCCGTCCACACCGTCCACCGCTATCCACAGCCGTCCACATCGTCCACCGCTATCCACAGCCGTCCAGCACCATTCATCACCACTCACCCGCTTACCTTGATGTGTGCATTATCGGCGAATCTGGCGTCCTGCGTCGGGTGCCCAGCTGCGTCTGAGCGCGCTCCTCCGCCCGTCGTCGGCTCGCGCCATTTATTTTGATCTGATTTGCGGCCGCGGCGCGTTTATCATCGGGTGACAGCGGCCGTGACGTCGGCGCCGCTGACGGACAGCGCTGCCAGGAGCCGCGACGGCCGTCCGCGCCCAGATGAAATATGTGCGAACCGAGCGGGCGGCCGCGCGGAGTCGGTCCGGTACGGCACCGGACGGAGACGGGGATAGGAGGGGCCAGGGCGGGACATGGGCGAGACGGGCTGCGAGGGGTGCGAGGGGTGACCGGGGGGGGGGGGGGGCACACGTCCCATCTGCTCCCAGGTGTCTGTTGGGAGGCGAATGATTGAGGGGAGCACAGGAGTCAGGAGGGCGGGAGAGCTGTCAGGAGAGCTGTGAGGGGACAGGCGACACGGTATCAGATCTGGATCTGGCTTGTTACCGGCGGCGGACGTTGGGATGCGAGCGGCGAGCGCTGGATGAGCTCTACGACTACTGCTGGCTCCAATCCCGCTCCATAGTGACGGCTTCAGCTTATTGCTGAACGATGACGCCCCAACACATTTTCTCCGACTGGGTAAGGGGGGACGGACCCCTTGGTGGTTTGCTGCGATTGCCTGGAAGTCATTAAATATAGGTAGAGAACTGATCTTCCAAATGTTTGATTCAAGTCTCAAGACAACCATTTTGAACCTGTCACGACCTCGGGCTAGTTCAGGTCACTGACCTACGACGTCATGCATAAACTTTTGCACGTTCGAAAAAACAACATTCGACGTGGTTGGTTTGTGGTAGGTAAGTGATCATGGCAAACGCAATGGTGCATACCAAAACGCTGCTCTGAGACCATTTTCGCCACATTGTCCCTCGAAAGCCCAAATTTGACTTTTGAGATAGTTGATTTTACCCCAGACGTCACCGATTAGCCTGATAGCTCGAAATTGGATGCCAAAGGTAGGTATGCTGCGACTTGACAGCGGAGGCGCTCTTTTTTAGCGATGCTTTATATCGTTGAGTCTTTGGGACTTAAAGGCTGTAAGGCACTTAGACAGTCTGTAGGGCGCTTGGCGAATCTGTAAATTCTCAGTAAGCCCTACTGCGGCTCCGCGAGCCCGAGTAGGGCCCCCGCGAGTCGTACAAGGGCCCCGTGTGGCACAAACTTCTATGTACAGCAACGCATGAGTAATGAAGAGAATATTGTTTTGGGCCCTTTGAGACACTTGGGACACATTGTTTTGGGCCCTTTGAGACCCTTTTCCTTGAGGGCCCCTCGAAACCTAACCCCCCCCCCCACACACACACACCTCTGATGTCATTTCTCCGGCCCTGATTGTGTAGTCTCTATAAAACAGCTTCAAAATCGGTGTTTTGTATTGGCATTTCAGCAATATGTTTGTGCTCATGTACATTATTCTACATAGGTAGCATGTTTAACGTTTACAGGAATGGTATGCTTGCATCATTGTACTCGTACAAACGACAACAAATAAACGCATCCAATGATAACATGTCACGATCTAGACACACATCCGGATCACTTGTTCGCTTCTAAAACCTATAATCACATACTCGATCGGACGCTCGACATGCATACAGTCACTCCCTTGTCAATATTTTGACCGAATTGACTGGAAGACAATTCATGAAAAACTCCAGCGATAAGGAAGCATGTTTTTTAATAAAATAAATTATATGTTCAAACCACTTTAAAACACTGTGAAAACATGCCTTTCTGTATATCTTCTAACAGGTAATCCGTTATTTACAGACCCTTTTCTTCGGCGGAAAAATGACTTGCAAAACATCTCAGTAAACCTCTCAAACATATCCAAACCATACAATCTAGTGTCGAGTAAAACGCACCCCCATACATCACTGGAAGAGAGAAATCGGCACGGCGGTCGGTCCTGTCACCATCGTTCGCCATACTTCATCGGGTCAGATCACCGGACGACAAGGGGTCATCACGAGACGCGACCGCGATTGCACGGGGGCTGCGCGCCCCCCGGAGCGGCGACACACCGCGCCGGACGCCGGTCCGCGGATACCGTCCTATCCGCCCGGTCCACCGGATACCGGTGCCCGCCCCCCCCCCCCCCCGAGCCCAGACGGCCGCCTCCGGCCAATAAAAAGACGGATCATTCGCCCACCAGCGTGCGTACCAGAGTGGCGAGGACGGCGCCAGGGACCCCACCCGCACGGAGCGCACGGCGCGGGCGCCACTGCACCCCTACGGACCACTGCGGCACGCGTATCGACATATTTACAGAGCGAGCTCATGGCGCGTTCCACGAGGCGATCTCGGAGACTCGCGATAAATCTTTGGAGAAAATAAATAACAATCACACACATATTGGCAAACCGTCAGATCAACGGCGGCCGGGCGGCCCCCCAGGTCCATTCGTGCCTCCCCGGCCCCCACCACAACCGATTACCATTCGCCCGCCCTCCGATCTCACTCCCGCCCGGCCGCTGCCCGGCCCTCAGCCGTGTCCGTCAGACCTGCCGCGCGCAGCTCCCTCGCGCCGCGCCGGCTCACGTTTCATAGTACATTTCTCTGTATCCGGCCAGCGCGGAGAGCAGCGTGGAGCTGCCGCCGTCCATACCCTCCTCCTTCATCGGCGCCGGCGCGTACTCGAACTTGCGCTCCGACTGTCGTCCGGGCGGCGCCGGCTGCGCGCCGTAGGCGGCCGCCAGCGCGCACTGCGGCGCCTCCTGGCCGGCGGGGCCCAGCCGGTCGGCCCGCTGCTGGTACAGCTGGTGGAGCTCCATGCCCGGCATGCCCTTCAGGTAGCGGTCGAACTCGTTGCGGTCGACGTCCAGGTCGTCCTGGGGGACGGGCACGCCGCAGGCGGGCATCTGCTGGCCGCCCGACATGGCCGGGTAGCCGGCGGCCGGCGGCGCCGACAGCGGACCGCCGTGGTAGCCCATCTGGGAGGCCGCCTGGTGCTTCTGCTCCATCATGTAGTCTGCAACAGGCGGGAGAGGCGGGTCAGGTCCCCGGGACGCCCAGCGCCGACCGGCAATCGGCCTCCACAACGAACTCGCACACCGACTGAGTATGACAGATGACCAACGGGCCCGCCATTGGCCATCAAATCGCTAATCGTGGGCGGTTATCTCATCTGCAAACGTAAGCTCTCCGGTGCCTGATATCTGAGCATTTGGCAGGCAAGGTCCAAACGTCAGGCTGCTCTCCACAGGCCACCTAGCGAGCTGCTACACCGGGAGGGGGCAGCGTCGGAGGCTGCGTCGGCACTGGAAAAATGGCGTCCGAGAGCGGCGGCGCGGCCGGTGGTCCGTCCGTGTTGACAGTAAGCCCCGCCATGTCGGCGGCAGATCCCAATCTGGTCCCGGTGACGGCCGGCCTGCCGGATCGGCCGGCGGCGCCGTGATCGATCGGCGGCGAGCCGGCATTCTGCCGAGCTGCCGCCGGCCGCTGGACATTGCTAAATGTTACCAGATCCCGTCAGCGGCGACAGCCACTGCCACGGGTCGACAGCGCGGCGTCGGACCGGGCGCGGCGGTCGGCGGGCACCCGGCAGCGCGGCTCGGGACGGGCGCGGCCGCCGAGACGCCGGCTGGCTGCCACAGAGTCGCTACTGAGTCGCTACCGAGTACCGGGGCATCCCGAGAGTGCTCGGCCTTGGCGAGACTGGCACGGCGCCGGTGAGTCAAAGGACGACATTTCCGTGCACGGCCGTCCGGCGCCCACTCGGCCCCGCCGGAGAGCCGAGCGGAACTGGCGACAGGCGCACCCCAAATTCCCGGCACTCGGCCGCCGAGAGCCTCCCAGGGACGGTCCCACTCCGCCCTATATAGGGCCTCCCAGGGACGGTCCCCGCTCCGCCCTATATAGGGCCTCCCAGGGACGGTCCCCGCTCCGCCCTATATGATATAGGGCCCTGGCTCCGCGGCGCCGTACCGCCGAGCCGCGACTCGGAGCGTGGCCGGTCACTCGATGAGACATTTAATCTGGCGGAATTCCCAGCGGCATGCTCATGACGTGCTCGGAAATGCTCCTCCGAACCCGGGTGGCGGGTGTACACGGCGGTCCGCATCATTTTCCGTGACGATCGGACCATCTTTGGGTGTGAGACGGGGTCCGGAACCACGGGTGGCATGTGTGACATCAAATGCGTGCCAAAAAGGTCCGAGGACACGGCATAAGAACATGGCGATGAAACTGGAGGCGATGTTTAGGAGAGCTGTCGAGCTCCCAAGCAAACCCAACGGCACGATTTTTGGGTACAACTCTTTTGGTCTAAAAAGATTACTCGTTAGGGTACGTTTTCACCTAAGCACAATGTCAGGTCCCAGAAATCACGCTCGGTAAAAAGGTGACTGCTCGGGGCGAATGGGTCACAGGCGCGCGCCGGAGAGCCATCTCCGGCGGTGGCATTAGTATTCCGCCTGTCCCGCGATCGGTTCATTGGACTTGCATCGACAACTGTGGCCGAAGCGGAGCGCCGGCTCATACATATTCCCTTCGGCAGGACTTCCTCGCCTTCTCACACCTTTTTCGTTGACAAACAGGGCGAGCAGGACGCGGCGAACGGGTGACATAACAGGGTTTTTGCCGCCACTGATGGCCGTCCCAGTTACCGGAGGGCGACGACAGCCTTTTTTCACACGGAGGGCGTTTAAGCGGTGTATCTGATACTGCGACGCCTTTTGTGCATTACCGGCTAGGCGAGCTCCATGGTAAGTGGCGATTCTGGGAAAAGCCAACGGTCTTCTTGGAAAGGCCCACTTCACTAAGCATTCAAAGACCCAGGCGGTGCTGGGAATTAGCTGTTCACATAACGCATTGTGTAGTCCTAGCAGAATAAATCAATTAATATAATCATCGCACCTGATGCTGATTGATGCCATAAGCTATTGTCTTTATCCTGTAGTAAATAATGGCCTTTTCCCCGTGTTGCTGGACGCTTAAATTACCAGCAGCCAGGCGGCTTCCCCAATAGTGACCCTCCGGCTCCTCCATCCCGGGAGAGCTGACCCTCCATCCCGGGAGAGCTGACCCTCCCAGCTCGGACTCCATCCCGGCAGAGGACCCTCCATCCCGGGAGAGGTGACCCTCCCAGCTCGGACTCCATCCCTTCAGAGGACCCTCCCAGCTCGGACTCCATCCCGGCAGAGGACCCTCCCAGCTCGGACTCCATCCCGGCAGAGGACCCTCCATCCCGGGAGAGCTGACGCCTGACCCTCCCAGCTCGGACTCCATCCCGGCAGAGGACCCTCCATCCCGGCCGAGGACCGGCCGCCATCGCCGTCTCGCCGTCGCATTAGCCGCGTCCAATGAGCGGGCGGCGACCTGCACTGGGCCATCCGTTAGCGGGACGGCCGTGTCGGCCGGGCGGCGCGCCGGATACATCAGATCGGGCCGGCGCGGCGGCTGCAGTGCGGGCCGCGCGCCGCGCGCCGGGGACAGCGGAACACAGCCTGCGGACCGCGCTCTGCACTCGGCCGCAGACTGGGAGATCAGCGATCGCAGAGCCTATATGATTCGGATGACCACAGCGAACACCATGCTGCATCAATCTGCTTCGGAACTTTGACAGAAACAGGTGTAAATCGGGTGTCGCCGTTTCGGTTTATACAAATGCCGCGTATACTTGAACATCTGTCGGGCATAAATGTGTTCCTAGAAGGCGGCGGCGTGCGCACAATCTGATGGCTGCGAGCTCTCGGTCCGGTGGCGGTCGGCGCGCAGAGCTCCCAGTGTTCCGGCACGCTCCGATATCGATCTGGCCGGCCGGTGACGGAGTGGGCTGACCCTGGTATGCCACCGGAGGTGCGCCCGGCAGAGACGGGGAGGGGGGGGGGGGCTGCCGCCGACAGATGGATCTAAAACCGCTGCTACCAAACGCTGAGGGCTGACCCTTTGCAGAGACACGTGACAGGACACCCAGCTAATACCGCTGCAGACCACACTGTCACGTGGTTCCAGTCCGATGGCCACCGACACTAGTAGATATAAGAGTCACGTGGTCCAGAGCAGGTGGCCTTTGCAAACCACGTGACCTGCGGGCCCTGATTGCCGCTCTGCGAGGTCAGGTGGTGCGGCGGCTGTGTCGCGGATTCCGGCCGGGTGCGTCACTCTAATCCGTCTGCGTCGGCGGTCGGCGCCGTGACGGATCGGGCGGCGGTCGGTGAGCCGCCGCTCTCGGAACAGGGCACGGCCATTAGCATAGGCTGCCGGCGGTGGCGCGGCGCGGCGAGCTGACGGCCACCGTGACCGCGGCGCCGCGACTGTCGGCGGATCTGAGCGGGCGCCGCCACCGCAGACTCCGTCCCCGCTCTGAGAGCCAACCTGCTACACGCTACACGGACAGCCGCGGCCGTCTGAGAGGGAGCCGGAGACTGCAGCTCACCGCTGCACGGAGAGCCCGCGACAGCCTACACTGGATGGACGACAAGGGCGCGGCTGCCAGCGATCAGATGGGTGGCGGCCGACCAGCCCGTCCTCTGATTGTTGATCAGATTTAGGCCCAAAGAGGTGTGGCCCAGGGCCATGAAGCATGGTGACAGCAAAGCGAGCTTTCAGCAAGCTCATTATGAAGATAAAGAGGAAAGTAAACACTGCAAGAGAAAGGCGAAACCGGGATAAGATGACAAAGAAGATCAGATGACAGGGACTGAGGAAATGAAAGCAAGCCTGAAATACAGCGAGAGATAATGCAGGTGTGGTGACAGGCACAAGCTCCTCACGCCGGTGCTGACCTGACCATGTGACACCACTCCCCCCCCCAACCTGTCCCCGGCGGTGGCGTACCTTCGTAGGCGCGCTCAGCGGCCTGCTGCTGGTAGGCGGCGGCGGCGGCGGCGGCGGCGGCGGCGGGGCTGTCGGCCGACCGGCCGTAGTAGTCGTACTGGGGCGACACCAGCGGCGGCGGCGTGCACGGCTCGGGCGGCGTGGCGCGCGCCGTCAGACCCAGCCGGCCGCCGTACGGCTGCGCCACGTTCTTCAGGTAGCCAGAGCGGCCCGGACCGAACACGCTCATCAGCTGCGACACGGGGTTGTCGTCGCCGGGCGTGCCGGCGCCCGCCTTGTCGCCCTCGAGCGGCGACATCTCGGGCGTGGGCAGTCCGACGGCGGCCGGCGCCGGCTCGCCGCCGAAGGGCGCCGCCGGCCCGTAGCCGGCCGTCTGGTACGGCTCCTCGGGGCTGCCGCGCGGTGACGTGTCTGGCGTGCTGAGGCCCGTGAAGCCGTAGGCGGGCTCGCGGCCGTAGCGGCCGGGGCCGCACGCCAGCTCGTCCTCCTGTTTGACGGAGAAGGCGGACGGCGGCGGGTCGGCCGAGGCGGGCTCTGTGTCGGAGCGGTCGGAGCGCGCGGCGCCCGCTCCCGCCGACCGGGACGGCGCCGTGCCCGCGGAGCCGCCGGAGCCGCCCGCCGAGCCGCCCTTCGCCTTGGCCTGTTTGCGGCGCCGGGGCCGGTACTTGTAGTTGGGGTGTTTCTGCATGTGCTGGACGCGCAGCCGCTCGGCCTCCTCGACGAACGGCCGCCGGTCGTGCGGCGTCAGGCCGCGCCACTTCTTACCTGGGGAGACAGAACGGAGCCGGTTAGACGGGGCAGCGAGCATGGGGCAGCACTACACGGAACAGCAATAGGTGCACGGATAATTGGTAGGCCGATCTGACAAGCCTTACTTACTGCGAAGGGTAACATGAGTAAGCATGAGCACAAAACCGTTTACATTAAAACGCGCAGCGTGATGAATTTGAGGCGCACGTCATTTATAACACACGGTGAGTAGACACAGGGTGGGTAGCGGGCAGCGGCGGACCCACGGGGCAGGGGTGCGGTCGGGCGCCGGCTGACAGCGGGTCACGATCGCCCCCCGCCGGGTCAAACAATCCGCTGACATCTGACGTATGTACGACCGGAGCCGTCTATAGATCGCCGCACACAGGGGTGCGTGAAAACCCACACCGGAACCATAACTCGTGCCGGAACGGCAGCTCCCAGCGCGGAAGCGCGGCCGGCCGGGAAACGGCGCTCCCATAAACGTGAGTCAGCGGCCGGTCCGACCGGGCGGCGGCCGGCCCCGAGCGGCCGCCGCCGGCAGTATCTCTGTCACCACCCCCTAACGAATCGGCGCAATTAGCTGCGGCCGCCCCACGTCACCGTCTCGTGACGCTGCCCATCACGTCACGTCACGGCGGGCCCGTCCGCAACCCATGTGTCATGCTGCTAATTGCTTATTTAATCTTTCCCATCCCGGCCAATTTATCACGTCATTAGTACATTAAATAAAATTGCATGCACCGAATTCATTACGTGCAGAGGTACACCGCAGGCATGATATCGTGATGTAGCATCGTATAAAATGAAATGAAATCCCACAAAACTGCAGAGGCCGGGGCCGTATTATAGCTGGCATGACCTCATGTCACACCCCATTATGCAGCCGGCCGGCCGGACGGGGCCGCGGCAGGACGCGCCGCTTTGTGGGAATGACTGACAGGATACAGACAGTGATACAGATTACGGACCTGAGCACATACAACAGCCCAAAGCACAACCGAAACACTTCAGCAGATGCTTTAACATCAGCCCATAAAGTATTACCCAGGACTATGCATCATGCTTCGGTACCCAATTACCACGTCTTCCACGTGAGTGATCCCTTATCGCATGGCATTTCGAAAGATAAAAGATCCAGGTCATACGCAGCGAAGAAGACTAAAACACACCACGCATTACATTCGATCCACCGCACTTCGACGTCATCTCACATTTCTATCCCATCAGCACAGTCCCATCAGCACATAGAATCCCATCAGCACAGCTCCATCAGCCTGGGCTCGGCGGAAGCGGCGATTAGAGGCGGCTCTTCCGGCCGGCGCGGCCTCTTAATTAGTCGCGTTATCGCGCCAGTACGGTACGGCCGCTGGTAAGTAGCCGACTAACGAGACGGGCCACCGACCCGGCACACTGCGGCACAGTCACGGCACAGGTATAAGACACACGGTCACGGCACAGGTGAGGCACAGTCACGGTGTAGCCACCGCACCCGCCAAAACACCCATCGTGAGACCGGTGCGAAGGAGGGGACGGATGGGATGAGAAGATAGGAGTAAGATGTAGGGATGTTATAAAATGATCATCCTTTTATCATTATCCTTATCATATGATCAATATTGGGCTGGCTGCCTACCCGTGGCTGCCCAGAGCAGTTCTTCCATCTACCCGTGGCTGCCCGGCGCAGTTCTTCCATCTCTCTGTGCTGGCGGGGTAGGTAAGGATGTTACCGCTGTTACCGGAAGCTCCGTCACATCCTGCCCCTCTGCGGCCTCCGAGGGCGGGTTAATTGGCGCCGCTAAGTGGTCCTATCTCCTCATCGCGGCGGCTGAACCACCTGTGTCGCTGAGTAACGCCTCCGCCACCGTCATGGGAGAGCTGCCCCCTCCCTCCCCCCCTCCCAGCGCGGGACGGTCGAGGGTGCATACCGCGGCCACACCTGTTGTGATTTGAGGACAGGTGCGGCTAATCGGCGCCACGGGTACAACAAGGAAGTGCCGCCGTCCACCGGGGGGGGGGGGGCCGGGGGGAGGGGGCAAACGAGACCCGGAGAACGCGGCGCTGTACCTACACGCTATGGCAGGGCGCCGGAGAAAAACGGCCCGCGACTCGTCTACATGTGGCGACACCGTGTCTCTATGTCCGCCAGTCCGGATGTAGTGCAGCGAACCCTCGGACGCGACAGCATGCTAATCAGTATTTACTTCACCGGACAGACTTCTGTCTAATGGACTAGCAGGCAAAAGGGATTAGCGGAGACGCAGTTTCCGAGAGCGCGATGTCCTAACAGCCGGTTGGAGTGTCTGTCCTTGAGGAATGTTTTCTGGAGCACAGCGCACGGCTGACATTAAAAACGGGGCTCACCAGTGTGACGATGTCTTTCCTTATCAGATAGCTGGGAAGGATTACTCTGGTCGTTTTATACATCTGATCCACGCAACAGGGAGCAAAGAACTTCAACAGAAAGAGATCAAGAAAGCGGATAAAAACGATCAAGAATGTGATAAAGGACTAGCGGATGACAGGGGGGGGGGACAAATAAATGAAAACACACGAAAATGTAAATGACTGCCACCCTCCGACGACATACATTTGTGATTTTGCTGAAGTAGATGCCAGTCAAACGGCAAAGTAAGACCGTCAACACACAGGTCGTTCTATTTTTCCATTCGCCGTCGACTGTTTGTTCTCATCTTGTCTGACATCAAAAACTTTGGATAATTGGGGCTCATCTGACAGCGTACACCAACTGTATCCTGTTTATCCGATTAACAAAACAAGGTGTCTCGCCATTATCTCTGTATCGGGCGGACGCCGACGCGGGCCGGGGAAGTCTTCTCCGACCTCGCCCAGCTGCGCCCCGTGGGCCGCGGTAAACAGGCGCTCACGATTTCGGGTGTGAGCGAGGCGCGGGATTAATCACTGCTGTCATCGGAGACGGATACCGTCCACCGGCCGGGTGTCCGGCCACACGGAACAGGTGTAGCCGTCTCCATCTATCTGTATTGCAATCCCAACATCCGCAGTGAGGCACAATCAAAACAATTAAAAATGTTCTTATTCTAAAGGTCGTTCTCCACGGTACATGTTTTGCGCGTTTTTAATGACGTTTTAACGCTTTTTTGATGTTTTGCGAGTTTTTCATGATCCGGCGTTGATCTGTACCATTAAATTACACGGTGCCATCTCCACGGCGGAAGATTTGTCAAAAATCGAAAAACGCGTGGCTTCATAAAATTAAAAAACTGCAAAACTCGTAAAACGCGTCAGTTGTGTCATGCAAAACTCGTAAAACTTTTAAAAAGCGCAAAACTCTCATTTGTAAAAACGCGCGATTTTATCCAAACATTTGGATCGAATGAAAGTTTTCCGGTTTTTGAGAAGGCTAAAGAGGTAATCATTCTGCTATTAATACCATTTTACGGTGAAATAGATGCAATGGAAAGTGTGGAAAGCGATGAAACGATAGAAAATCGATAGAAGGCATCGACGACAGCAATCAACACAATGCTACGGAAGCCTTTATGCCACCAGTTGATGGAGCCACTATTCGCCGGCTTTTGAATCATAACATGTTTGCCATCGACGGCTCCACAGCAGTTGGGGAACTGCCACACACCCCAGAATTCACGGGCACACTGGTGCCGCTCTGCGGTGGTTGGAAACGCCATGACCTTTGGCCCCAGCTCGGACCACAAACGCAAAACTCAATGATAATTTTCGGCACAGTGGCCCTACCCGATCCGGTAGGACTCCGACACCGTCTTCATTGAACCACCGGCTGAAAGGAATCGGAGGGTCACTGCCAGTCGCCCCACGGAGAGATGGGTTCACGCGACACGCATACACGTATGCTGCATGCTGTATGTATATTGTCACGAATCAGGGCCAGGAGCCCATCGAAGTCAGCAGCGGACATCCAGAAGTAGCGGAGATGGGCTGATGGATCTGCTGCTCTCATCTCTTGCACCATTTCTCGCGACTCGCCATAAAGTCTTGTAACAAACTAACTAAAAGCGTAAAAAGCGCAAAACTCGCAAAACTCGCAAAAGCGTCCGTTAAAAAGCGCAAAAAGCGCAAAACTCTCGTTTGCTAAAACGCGTAAAAACCGAAAATATTTACACGTGGAGACAGTACTTTACATACAAACTAACAAACCTCCTCACAGAATATATTCGCGTTTTTTTTTCTCAGCCTTTCCCTTTTTGTGGAATGGCGTGGTTTTTGCTGCTATCTGTTCGTCTGGCTGGCTGCCGTCGTCGCAGGTCCGGTCTGTCCGTTCCCATGGGCGGGCGGCGGACACCCCTGTCCGGCTGTCCGGCTGTCCGGGGCTGTCCGGTGTGTGTTCCTCACTAGGGTGTCTCGAAAAATAAAGTTGACATGCCTATAGTCAAAAACATTTGCAATCGAGTCTGCTGGTTTCGAAAATCGCAATTAAAAAATTATGAGCCATTGTCTTCAACAAGCGCAGTCGCGATTTCCAAAAGCTTGCACCTACTTTTCGGGCGTTGCAGTCTCCATTGGTTTTGCTTGGTGTTAGTGGCAGTAATAATACGGTGGTTTTCACGAAAGTCTCAGGCAGAGTTCGTGGGTGAAGAGTTTAAGCGTAGTTTCAAGTCGGTATTTAATTGACTTTATTTAGTGTAGACGTTGTCGATACACTTTTTAAAGTCACGCCTGTAATGCGACCTTCGCTTCAGCGCAACTAAACTCTGGACAAACCACGTCCCATAATCTCAGTCGGAACTCGGACCAGACACGCTAGCGCCACAGACGCCTAGTTGACAGTCGAGCCCCTCGAGCCCAACCGCGGCAGCAGCACAGGGATAACTTTCGTCTGCTCTAACCATAATCATAGTACCCAAGCCACAATCGTGAGCCGTCTCGTGACCAGGGCCTACTTGCCACTTGGCGAGGACGAGAACGACGCCCGCTGCCGCCTGGAGGCTTGGTGAGTTTCACCTCGAGGGGCTGCGCCCGCCAGTGTTGATTGAACTCTCGTGCGGTGTCGACTG